AAACAGAAAGAGAAAAGAGTGGGGGAGGGATTGCGAGAGAGAACGTCTGTGCATCTATTTCATTTTTCTTAGTATAACTTGAATAAATATAACATGCGCTTTCCTCATATTCATTACATAAAATGCACAGAGAGGATGCTAATGCTAACCCTAAACTTATTCACTGACTGCAGTTTAAAACGATACCACACTTAACCCTCGCCCACAGATCTCACTGCAGGGAGCGTGCACTGTTTGTGTGGGAAGGTGGCTTTCCTTGAGGTGGGACACTCAGATGTGAACTTCTCTACCCTAAAACATTGAGTCATCAAGTTCCTAGCACCTGTAGTACCCCAAGAGACACAAGCACACAGGTGCTGCAGGCGAAGACGCAGCACATCTGACCAATCATACAAAACACGCACAGCCAGGAAACCTGCTACTATGTATAATGGACAGGTTACATGCAAATCCATTAAAATGAAAAGAAAAATGTATATATTTAAGCACAACATCAGGAAAAGGTTACCAGACCATCAGACCACCATCCATTCACTGATATTCTGTGTGATATTCTACAATAAACTGGAAGGCATTTATCGAAGTTGAAAGCTCTAACCTAATCCAAAAAAATGTCCAGTTGTAAAGAGCACACAGGTTTGTTTTGATCAGTTTGCAAAGAAACCAAATCTTGTTTACAAGGAACAAGCTGACACAGAACTGCTTTTGAGGATAAAATAATGACTGGTTTTGCCAAAGCTTGCCAGGTTATTGACATCACATCTTTGAAAGATACTTTTGAGAACAAGTTAAAAAGCTGAACTGTATTTTCTTCTATTTTAGTCAAAAGTGTAGATACACAAGACTAAACAAAGGACTGACACCGTTCAAAAGTGTGAAAGGAGAGCTTTTGAAAAGTCTTAGAGATTCAATCCTTCAGAGGTCAAAGCTTTCCAAGATTTGTTAAAATCACAAAACTTCACACAGCTTCAGGCTGTGCTTGTACTCTGGGACTTCACAGTCTCCTTCCTGTTCCACCATTATATTTCCATTCATTCACTGTTTTAAAAACTCTACTGCCTAAATATGACTACCCTTAACAGGGTTCAGCTTTAAAATCGAACAAGAAAGGGGTGCTCGTTCTTCTGTTTCTATTCTCACCCTTTTTTATACTCAATTTTCCATCAAATGCAATCATTTGACTCTTGCTAAAGCTAGAGCCAATCTATTTAGAGGACGCTTCAGGCAGTACTGGCTTTGGCCGCATGTGCTTGGTGTACTGATAGCCGTCCCTATCCCTCCTCTTCCCTCCCGCTTTTAATCCTTTTATCCAACTGAATTAACTGAGTCACTTCGAAACTATTCCCACTACTACAACTTTCCAGCTACAGCTAATTTCCAAGATTTGTTAAAATCACCAAACTTCACACAGCTTCAGGCTGTGCTTGTACTCTGGGACTTCACAGTCTCCTTCCTGTTCCACTATTATATTTCCATCCATTCACTGTTTTAAAAACTCTACTGCCTAAATATGACTACACTTAACAGGGTTCAGCTTTAAAATCGAACAAGAAAGGGGTGTTCGTTCTTCTGTTTCTATTCTCACCCTTTTTTATGCTCAATTTTCCATCAAATGCAATCATTTGACTCTTGCTAAAGCTAGAGCCAATCTATTTAGAGGACGCTTCAGGCAGTACTGGCTTTGGCCGCATGTGCTTGGTGTACTGATAGCCGTCCCTATCCCTCCTCTTCCCTCCCGCTTTTAATCCTTTTATCCAACTGAATTAACTGAGTCACTTCGAAACTATTCCCACTACTACAACTTTCCAGCTACAGCTAATAAACTTCAAAACTGCCAGCCTGTAATTCTATGCAAGTTAAAGCAAAATGTCAACTTTGTGATGTCCTGAGCTAAACATAATCTCTCTCTCTCTGTGTTTGTTATCAGCACTCTAATGATTTCTTTTTCTGACAGAGCTTTAAAAATACACAGTGTTTATACTTGTGCTGCACAACCAGGAATTACAGTAACACCCATGGCATTAAACTGAATTGACCTGGACTGACAGAGAGAGCAAGGAGAAAAGAGACAAAACCAGAAGGTCTGAAACTTGCTAAATCCTACTGTACATCTGAAACCATACACAGCCTTCCTTCACACAATCTATTGTTGACAGTGTCATCTGGCAGACATCACTGGTGTATTCAGTAACCGACACTACTTTCTGGTGTATTTATTGTTTCTCTACAGCACTCTAGTAGTGTTACTCTCTAGCACTCTGTAACTTTATTGCAATACAATATTATATATGTTAACAGTTACTATATTATTACTGCACTGTACAAAGCTCTACACACTGAACCTCATCTTATGTATTTCAATGTCAGTAAACCTTATGTAAGCTGTGCAAATGACAAATAAATACAACTTGACTGGAAACTTCAGAGAGATGGTCAGATTTAAATGTACAATCTATAGCTATGGAAAGAAGTTAATTATTAATTATATGCTGCTAAATATTGCACACACTATGATCTGACTTTTCTGAAGCTGAGGTCCCACCAGGCATTATATCAGACATATCATTCCAGCAGCAGCTCCGACTGCTAACCATGTTTATAAATAAAACTGCACACTTAAACAGCCCAACGGACTAAAAATACAACTGTCAGCTGGGTTAAATCTGTCTCTCTGCTTATTTCTGCGATTTATATCTGGGACCTCAAAATAGTTCAGCTTCATCGAGACATGCTTATTCATCTGTTTGGCGTGCTGTTAAAGCGACACATGAAGAGTAAGAGTAATAAGAGCAGAGAGCTAAAGTGCTTTGATAGGTAATGGAGGCCGGCTGAGGAGAGAATATGGTAAGAGAGATGCAATGTAGTATTTTCTGGCATACATTCTCTCTCTGAAGCTAACTGCCATGAGAGCAATACTACACACACATCAACTTAAAGAGGTTCAGCTGGTGGATGTCCAGTGGAGTGGCCTCTCCTGTCCCCTGTAATTACCATTAGCACAAAAAGACAAAATGCGGCACCCAATTTTCTCTCTTCACCTCTCAGGCTTCTCACTAAAGGCCACAGAATGACAAATAATACAAAACCAACTGGGCTATGTTTACATGAAGCCTAATACTCCTTAAATTTAAGTGATACCTCTATAGAAAAAAAAAATCATTATGCGAACACCTCAGTCAAAAACAAATAATATGACTGAGCACGAATCCAAAAGAATAAGCCTAAATAATCAGTTAAATGAATGAATAATTGACATGTAAATCAGACGACTTGTACAGTTGGATTCAAAAATTTATATTTGCACAGCAGCAACAAACATGGTTGGGCATGGTGCAACAGTGTTGGTTTTAGTATTATATATAAAGTAATGTAGTATTTATTCATATTTTGAATTAACTTTTTTATATTTTCAGTTTTCATTTGAATTGTTTTAGTAATTCTGTGCTTTTGTCATTTTCATTAGTTTTTTATACATTTTTTAATATTTCTATGTAGCTTTTAGTTGTTTTAGCCATTCAGTACTTTAAGTCAGCATTTCTAATTTTAAATGGATTCAATTCAAGTTTTTTATGTAATATTTTGGTTTTAATTTATTTCAGCTATATTTCATTTCAATAAAAAACCATTTTAGTTTTAGTTAACAATAACGACACTGTGGTGGAGACTTTGTCTTTTTAACATTTTGAAAAATAAAAAGATTGTTAGGAGACAAAGAGGTAGGAAGTACAGAAGAGGAAGTTCGGAACAACACGGAACAACACAAAAAAAAAAAAAAAAAAAAAATATTTATATATATATTTTTATTTTTTTTTTTTTTTTTATGAATCTAATTGCTTTACAGATTTTTGAATAATCTATGCTGCTTTAAATATACCCAAAAACTTGACTGACAATCAGTTAAGCAAAGCAGGATGGTTTTGGTCTTTGTTAACCACCACATTTTCATCATTATTTTTAGTTATCAATCAATAACATGGTTGTGGACATACAGGGATTGAAAACCACTGCTCTGGAGATAAAGATAACGGCATACTCTGAGTGCAGCCTGGCTCCTCCCAGGTCCTCTGGGGAAACCTCCTCTCCAGTTGCAGCTTTCACCAGCGGTGGACCCCCCAAAAATATTGTTCCTATCCTGTGGACAATCACCGCCTCCTCAGACATAGTGGGGACATAAGCACCTCCAGCTGTGCATGAGCCACACACTACTGCCACCTACAGGTTATGATATCACATCACATTAGAGCAAACATTTAGCATTACACAAAAAAAATAATTGACTGGGAATGAATATTTGTTTTTTAATAAGAATGTTTTGCATGAATCTTTTATTACCTGAGGAATCTTCATTGCTGACATAACTGCTTCATTGAAAAAGGTGCGACCTCCATGGTTGCTATCAGCAAAGATCTCTGACTGTTGATAAAGCAGTTGCACAACCATTAATGCACCATTAAGATATAACAGAGCTCGCCATGGCAATAAATGCAAGTTACCTGAAGAGGCAGAAATGCGCCACCACTGTCCACCAAGTAAACAGAGGGCAAACGATTCTGCATGGCCACAACCTGCGCCCTGAGATGCTTTTTAACTGTGATGGGATACGTTTGAGGAAAAACGTTTGTGGCCAAATTCTCTGACAGGAGCACTGATAGCTTCTTGTTGCTATGGTAACACTAAATGCTACTCTTTTGCATGCACAGAAAACATGTGCTGCAGATATTGTCATGTTGACAAATATTGTCATCAGACTGCAAAGTTTAAGGCATACAGTATAAACATTGCAACTGGAACGTGCACTCAGATTGAATTTATTTAGATTAGTGAGCCTGTCTAAAGGATAAGAAGAAAGTTTTGTTGAAACAGAACATTTCAGCAGTCAGGAGCTGCCAATGTGTTGTAGCAAAGAGATGGAAAACTAACCAAGGATTTGTCTTTTCATCCCAAGGACAAACCTCACCTGAGCTCAGTAATGGTATTCTGACTCACAGAGAGTGTCTTACCATCAGTAACCTGTGACCCTTGAGAAGTGCTGGGCTGCGGAAGTTCGTCTGGAAGCTCACGGTCTGTTTGTGTCTCTGCATTCTGTAGCCGCAGAGTCTGTGTCTGCGTCCCCTGTGATGTAACAGTGGGGGCAGGATGTCGTGGCTGCAGACCAATCGCATTCATCAGACCCATCTCTCTGCGGGGCCTCCAATCAGTCCTGCTGCTCCTAGAAAAACAAGACACATCCCACAGCAGGATGAGTGATGATGACTACACCAAATCTTACAACATCACCACACAGCCTTCAGGCGATTCCGGTCTGATCTGATATGACACAGATTTAAATTCTGCACAGGTCTGGAAGACCTATAGATGGAATACGAAATGTGTCTATATAACGGCTTGCTTGGCAAAGCTAAACCTTTTCTGACAAAAGGTTTTTTTCTTTCATAGAAGTTTGTTAAGTGAGGATGTACAATACCATGCATTTGATCTAAAACGACTTCAGAATAATACAAGCAGAAGTTATTCATCCACAAGAGAAAACATCACATTGCTAACAAACCATACAACATCTCCCCTAATTATTACAGACACAGCTAAAGGGATAGTTCACCCCAAAATTTTAAATTATGTCATCATTTACCCATCCTCATGTCATTCCAAAACTATCTTTTTTTTTTTTTACTGTGGAACATAAAGAAGATACAACTGTTTTTGTCCATACAATGAAAGTTGGTGGGGTCTAAAACAGCACTGAATTGACTGACTGTATGGAAAAAAAAAAAAAAAAAAAAAATTTTTTTTTTTACTATTTTTTTGAAAGTCATACAGCTTTGACACGAGGGTGAGTAAATGACAGCATTGAATTAAAATTTTTGGGTGAACTATCAGAGTCATGTGGCATAAAGAACTGAACTGAGAGTATCCTTTTAATATCAATTTAATTCCTGTCATTCAAATTTGAATGTAATGACAATCAAAATTAATTGAAATTCAAAGAATTTCATGTAATTTTTAACTACAAAAGCAAAGTCTCCCAGGAAAAATCTTGTTTTACAAGATTTAAAAGTTTGAAAAACGTTTAAGTTTGAAGTACTACAGAAAACAGACAGACAGACAGAGAATGAATGAACATTAGAATCAGTTATGCCTAATCATGTGATGCCAGCAGTCTTATGTTGTTGTGGCCTTCCTCTCGGCCACCTATTCCAGCCACCAGCCTGGATCTGAGCTGTCAATATAATGGTCAGGATGGTGATACTTTGAGGGGAGATGGATACTCCATCTCAATCTTGGGTGAAGCACTGTTGCTGTAGAGTGGACTAAGATGTCTCATTAAGCCCTTTGTGGACAAGTGTGGCACCAGTGTGTCAGGGAATGAAGACCAACAAGATGGGAACAGCAGTAACACACCTCACTGAGGCTTTTTTCCCAAAAAAGTGTCAGCAAAACAAGCTGGATTCATGGCTGCTGTGATGAGGCTTAATTAGCAGCAGCCATGCCTCACAGCTGTGCTCCACTATCAAGCCCATCCACTAAGTGACACGCTGCTGTTGCCCGGACCTTGGACAGAGTGATCAGAGAGCTGGTCGGCAATAATTTGATGGTAGGTGGATTCTCAGTCACAGAATAGATTAAAAGGTACTAACGAATCAGCACTTCTTTATTAGTGCTTAGAAATATGCTCAATATGCCAAACCAAAGAACACAAATTACATTTATTTATTTTATTTTTTAATAAAAATGAAAATTGATATTAAATAAGTGAAAACATTTAGAATAAAAAACATAAACAAGAATGCTGAATTTAAATGTGTTAAAAACAACAACAACAAACACATGTCCTGGTGCTCTAAATAAAAGTATGTCCATACTCACCCTGCTCTGTCTCCACCCCTGCTGCTACTGGTTCCAACCCCTCCACCATTATTGATGGTGAACATTCTCTCAGAGCGTTCAGAAGTGCCGTTGCCATCTGAGTGTATGTCACTGGATGGGATATTTCCATGGTCACATACATAGGCAGACAAAGAAAGAGAAAGTAATGTAATGTAATGTAATGTAAAGAGAAAGTGCTTGCAATCCAGGTAAAGCTCAACGACAATGTCACATATACTGTGCAAGAAGAAGAAAGGTTGACCTTCATTTCAACTCTGCAGAAGCAGAAGCTAAAAGTTTTAAACAGTTTTTAATTCTAAGGTGACATCCACTGGTGTTAATTAATTGTACATGGATAAATAAATACATCGATAAATAAAGCAAGGATATTTCCATGGTCACATACATAGGCAGACAAAGAAAGAGAAAGTAATGTAATGTAATGTAATGTAATGTAAAGAGAAAGTGCTTGCAATCCAGGTAAAGCTCAACGACAATGTCACATATACTGTGCAAGAAGAAGAAAGGTTGACCTTCATTTCAACTCTGCAGAAGCAGAAGCTAAAAGTTTTAAACAGTTTTTAATTCTAAGGTGACATCCACTGGTGTTAATTAATTGTACATGGATAAATAAATACATCGATAAATAAAGCAAGTACTCACTGAAGAAAAAACGGGAAAATGTGTTTTCCTGGTTTAAATTAAAAAAAAAAAAATCTGACAAATCCCATGAATCATGGTACAGAAGGGATTTGTTTCTTCTTTCAGAAAAAAAAACATTAGGTTAAAAAAAATCCCCTCTCCTTAATGATTCTGCTCTGACTTTGGGAAACCCTTGTTTCTTTGTCAGGTTTAAATACAGAGAAAAACGTCTGAGCTGAGCTTAAACAACAGCAGACAGAAAGAGAAGCCTTTCTCTTTCTCGATTGTGTTAGAGCTGTAGTCCGTTGACTGCTCATTTGCCTAGCTCAAAGAAACTCGCTATAGTCCCCACGGATTCCCACAATGCATCTATGCGGTTCATTAGCATAGCACTGACAGTCCCGTAGTTGCCGAGGCTGACATCCACTTCATCCAACCATCTTGCGCACCTGTCTCCAACCAAGAGTTCCCAAAGATGTTACCTCCCAATGGGCCTGTCCAGCTCTCCTTCTTGCCCCCTTTTCCATTCTAATATTCTCTCTGTCTGTCTCTTTCTCTTTTCTCTAAGGAAGTCTAACTAAAGGAAAGCAAAACATCTCTCTGACTCCTGTTTGAAGAGTGTAGCAAGTCAAAAGCTTGGAGAAAGTTGTGAGAGGTGATGAATACTTGCATATTATATAGCTAAGGTAATTAATTTCTGAAAAAAATACATAAATAAATAAATGGTGTACAACGCAGAATAACCACTGCTTCAAGCTGATGGTGCTTTTTAATGGACAGGAGACAAACTATGAAGTATTCTTCTTGTATTCTTGAATGTAATCAATATTTGTGCACTTTAAAATTGATATTTTTCCAACACATCATAATGAGCGGGTGTTCCCCACCATGAGACTAGGCTGATATCTGCAACCACTGGAGGCTAATTACCAGTTTCAGTCGGATCGATCCATCTCCCGCCAATGTCCATCAAAAGTTGTAGAGTAACAGCCTTATGGGTACTGACAGAGAGAAAGCAGTGTGTGGTCCTGGCTGCTTTCAGAGAAAGGTGAAGATGATATTCTTATCCTCAGGTAAATAAATGTACAGGGGATGGGACAAATCTGACCGTATATTAACATCAAGAAATCAAATGAACAGCCTAATAAACAGTAGGGCTAAACTTAGTCTTCAAAAGTGTCTCATAGAAGCTAACGTCTCTGAATTGTGTGCATTGAGATTTCATGAAGTATGTAACTGATCCTGTTAAGCAGTCAGTGTTGTAGAAACCAGCAGCACATTCGAGTCCAAGTCAAGACCGAGACCAGAAGAGGATGGTGTTCACATGCACCCAAGTCCATTACAAGACCAAGACCATGAAAACAGTCTTTAACCCTGCCTCAAGTCCAAGTCAAAGGCCATATTTTCAAGGTCTTTGTCTTGTCATGGACCTGGGAGCATGACTGAGACTCCAATGAGATGGTCATGACTACAACACTGTAAGCTGTCTTAAATTTCAAACATAGTGTTTACTTCAGATGTGAGTGTCTAATAAAACAAAATCTAAACTAAATAGCTTGCATTACAATCAATGAAGATGTCTACACTGGAAGCCCCACCACTATTTCTGAGTCGTTGCAAACTCAGTTCATTTTGCCCGTCCATCTGAAAGAAAATAATATACAAATGTCATATGTGTGTATTATATGAAAGATAAATAACATCTGACAGTTCTGATGTGTCTGGCCTTTGACCTTCTAAGAACCAAAGATGATAATATATTATTTGCATTTGTTAACGGCTGTAGCCTTGGGCACTTTACAACTTCAGCTAAAGGTTGTGGATGATATTAACCAAAAAACACGCACCTTTGAAAAATTGAAAAAGTATGTTTTCCAGGCACCTCTGACATACTATATTCAGCATGCTTGTAAAATATGCTCAAGAAGGCCCAAAACTACCTGAGGATCAGTGAGGGGAGCTCTGGAAAGGAATGTCAGAATGAGGACTATGACACTTTTCTATTAGTTACAGTCCTTCAGGAAAGAGATGGGTAACCTGGGCATCAAAAAACAACAGCATGTACACTACATGAATTTGAAGGATGACATGAAAGGTGCATTCACGCCATGTCGGAATTACTGTAATTATGTAGCTAGTTGAATAACTATATCTAATATCCCGTTAAAATTGTACTTTTATTAATAAGGCATTTGCATAAACACTGTTACTTCTTGTATTGCGGTTTTTACTGATTACTCATATTACACAAATTCATTTCCATGTAATTGTGTTGTCATAGAAACACATTATTCTGAGTCTTATTAAGAGGACATGACCAAACCCCGAGTAGAACGTCACAGGTTATATAGTAATTATGTTAATTACGCCATGGCGTGCCTGCAGCAAAAAGCCATTGTTGTAAAAGATATATATTGTGAAAACGGAAATAACAAGAAATCAAATTTTTCTATACAAATTTATTCTATACAAATTATTCATCTAATTTTCTGATGTATTCAAACACCCGTGTGTGTAGGATGCCTGTCACGATCATGAATTTTGTGCTGACGACTGTCAACAAATAACTGCGATTAGCTATTTAATAGTCTGTTTTTCCTCATGTCATGTAAAGTGTAAGCCTATTATATTTTTTATGTATATTTTTTTTATTAAATGTTTATATTTTACTACTGTTAAACATAAAAAGGCCCATATGATCCTCCTTGCTTC